GGCATCAGTTAGCAGCAAAGGAGCACAATCAGAGTGATGTTAAATTTGCCTTGCTTGTTCCACAGGGATCACTGCCCAGTTAAACCAGGTGATTGGCACCTGAGTCTGAGCACCTGGGACAGCCTAGCCCAGGTGTGAGTATCCCCATTGTAAAGCCAGACCCAAATTATTCTGTCCTCACTGCTTCTGCCCTCACCCGTGGGCCCTTCGTGCTGAGACACTCTAGGCCTCTTACCCAGCCAATTGCATCAACAGTGGGGAAAACTTGTCTGTCCTTCAGGGGGAATTGTGGGAAGGGTGTGGGAGGGCTGTCAGCATACAATGGATTTTTTTTGCTTGCATCCTGACTGCAAAGTGGGCAGGTTTCCGTCTGAGTGACAGCAGCACCTGACCTCTAACCCACACCCCCTAGCTGGGTCAGCTAGCTGGGCTCAAACTCGGCTCCCAGGTTTTTGTGTGTGGATGGGCTAAAATCAAGGTAAGAACCCAGGCTAACTGGGCAGGAAAGACCTATCCTGAGTGTCTGTTTACTTGTGTGTCAACTGGGGTTGACACTCTTTTCCCAATAGGGGCATTCTTAGGGTTAATTCATCTTTCTAAGGCACTTTGAGATCTTGGGGTGACAGGCGGCACAGTTAAATACATAATAATACTCAGCGATGTCAGAGGGACTAGACAGGACTGGGAGCTCACTGCCCAGGGTCAGCTTTGCTTTGAACATTTAGAACGCCTAGAAAAGTGTAGCACTCCAGAAATTACAGTCTGTGCCTTGGTTTTCTCCTTCCCTTCCTTTTTTTTGGCATCTCCTCAACCCTCCTTTCCTCCCAAAGCTTGAAAGACTTTCCTTGACGGAATGGGAGCCTTTGCTGTGTAATTGTGGATTACACGCTGAGAACGAATGCTCATGTTGCTCAGAGTTGACGTGAGCCGATATGACTGGCATGCGTTGAAATCAATGGGCTTGCTTCCCTCTGGCATTCCCGTTGCTCGGTGCTGCCTTACAATTGCCTTTAATGAAGGGAGATTACGTTTCCTCTTTTGGAAAAAAAACCTAGTTAGTGCTGATGAAAGGCTCCGGATTAACAGCCTTGCTGAGCGATGGCCCTCATTCACCCAGGGGACAGGGACAGTGATGACTGTAGCACGACGAACTTCCCCACGCTGGCCCGCTTCATGGGGAGCTGGTGGGAAGAGGGTAGTTTCTTTCACATGGCAATTCAGCCTCTCTGATGAGACTGCCAACAGAGGTGCCAGCTATTACAGGGACATTTGTCTACTAAGAATTGGTCTGGAACCAGCAGCTTACCTCACACAGGCCACTGAATGGTCATCCCGTGGTAATGACTCCAGTTGATACTGTGAGGGATTGAATCGCCCAGAGAAACAAGGGGACTTAAATCAGAAGTAAGGGGTGTGATGCTCTGCCCCCAAACACTCCCATGTTATATGGCCAGAATAACTTAACTGAGACCATAGAGAATACTGATGTGTTAGAACATCCCGAACCCACTTCCTATCAGATCGCAGAACATCAAGACTATGGGGTGCATATGGAGTTCTTAGGTGACTTACATCCCCTGTGTAGAGTAAGGGGGCATTTCACAGTAAAGCTGTGGCTGTGGTAAGAAGAGCAAAATCAGTAGGGCATGGGCAGGGTGATGGCAGAGAAAGGCCTGGAGATGGCCTCTAAGATCCCAGCTCTCAGGGAGCTAGGCAGGTTGAAGCAGCTCCCAGAAAGAGAGTTTGATCGTGAAGAAACCAGAGCTTCGGTGGTGTGTGATATCACTGGAGGAGTTAACATGGCATTTTCCTTGGTCTGCCAGAGAGTGCATTTTCCCCTTACCGGGGTGTCTGAGCTCCTTGCTCCCTCTCCTTTAGTGGTTGCCGTAGTGTCTTTCTACTAGGAAAGAACCCATTTAGGTGTCAGGGAATGATATTTTAAAAATCAGAAACTGGGATGTTTCCCTTTGTCTCTCAGTTTCACTGGGATTTTGTTCGCCCAAATGTCTCGCAACATTATTTATTTTTAATTACTTTTGTAACACGCCTGCCACTGCAGTAGAGCGACTAATACTGTGGTGAGGGAGCAGAAGCAGAAAACAAAACCCTCTTCCTTCAGAATAAAAAGATGAAATTAGGCAAGTGAGGTGATGCATATTAATCAAATATTTCACTTAACGCAGTGCATATTTGCATAAAAATCTTCAGATTTCTGGACCTTCAGCTTTTACAGGTAGGCATATGAATAGCCCTGTATGTGCTAATGTACCTTGCTGAACTGGGACCTAAATAATTCTGCAGAGCGAGGAAAACCGCACAACTTTCAGTGGGAATGGTGAGTATACCTTTAAGGGCTGGGATAGAAACTCGCTCTTAATCGACAATGTCGTTTGGGAGGGACCTGTATGAAAGGAAGTAAAGAGATTTAGCACTTAATTAGGGAAGAGGAGAACCAAGCTTGGATGTCTATTTGGTGCCTGATTTTATCTTTGAATCTGTCTTTATATTGTTTGGTTTTGTTATTAATAACGTGGAGATTTGGGGGCATAACCTGAATTTGTGTAGTTTTCTGAGCCAAGATCTGGGCTCGGAATAACCCCACCTCATAACGATTTTTTTTAATGGTCTTCTCTTTGTTCTTTTCTCTGTTTGTATTGTCCTTTCACAAGCTTGTATGTAACACTTCTTATGCTGTTCTTTTCCCAGTTGGCAAGCAGTGATTTCCCCAGCCCTGCTCCTTGTTATGGGTCTTCCTTTGAATTCTTCTAAGATTTCAGCAACAAAGTGATGATTATTTTTTTTAACAGAAGTTTGGAAACCAGGATGCAGATCAACTGCCATAGTTTTAAAGGAGGTACCAATTTGGGCCTTAGCTACTTGCTATGGATCCTGTCCTGCCAGGTGCATTAAGCCTGATCCAAAGCCCTGTGTGGGTAATGAAAGAATTCCATTGGTTTCAATGGACTTTGCATCAGGCCCAAAGTGGCCTCAATGTCAGTTAACATCTATGGGAAATGAGAACGCTTGCGACTTCTCTGGAGCATCAGGGAGGAACAGATCCTAAATGAACTGCTGATGGCTCTTAGGAATCACACGAAAACTTTCTATTGGTGACAATCCATTTCTCTTTCACATTTTCAGGTGTTTCTCTTCCTTTGTTCTTTATTATGAAGAATATTTGCACGAACCTATAAGTACATTGTCTATAAGACTTTGTCGGCTCATGCAGTTTATTCCTAACCTCATAATTTTTATGGCAATTAACTGAGACGACATAAACAGAAGATTAAGATTTCAGGTGGAGTACAAACTGCAGGAAATTCAGGAACCGGTCACTTTCTTGAGAAATCAGGATCCGATATCTTCATTTTCAGCTTTGCTAATGAAGGAAAGGAAATGCAGAAAACATGATACAACATCACAATGGTTGAATTCTGTGACGAATTAGTATGGTCTATGTGCCTGATACAAGACTGAACCGTTTTTAACTGTGTCATAGGTGCTGTACTGCTAACAGCTGATGGAAATTTTTATTTAAAAGTGGCAAAGGTCCTGTGACTGGCAGCAAGAAGAACTGAGTTTTATCCCTATGAAGTTCCAGGGAGCTCTTGTGTGCAGCATATCAACAGTTGTTAAGTTCTAAGTGGCCCTGGATTTGTTACTACCTTCAAAGTGGGAGGAGACAGGATGGTTTAGGAGACTGGTAGTGGAATATGGAGCTTTTCACTTCTCCAGCATTTCCAAGAAGTCTTGGAATTTTGCACCATTTACAGAATTTACACTGGGATTCAGTTAAGATATATGGTGGTACTGACTAAATATAGTTACCTTCTGATGCTTTTATTTGGCCAACGCATATTTAATTGGTGGTCTCACTCCAGTCCCTAGTGGTCAGATGTCTACAACAAAAAACTAGTCGTACACGCAAGTTCACAGTTGGCACTAAGTTGTGTAAAGCTGATGGTTTCAGCACAGAGATGAAAGGGTGAATTGGCCTGGAGACTGGATTCCTTTCTCCTACATTGAGGTGGACTTTCCATGTTGATCTATTAGAAAAGGGGAGGAGGGGAAAGCTTGCAATGCCACAGCCCATGCTCTACCTCCTCCATGGCCAGTTTCTAGAATTGTCCCATCTGCCCCTTTCTTAGTATTCCTGCATAGTCACTCTCTTCTCCTGGGTCCCAACTGGGAGAAATGCATGATGTAAACAAAGAGCCGAAACAGTGATGTGTAAATAGAATTTTAAAATTTTCCTTCACTGGTAGTAATCGGAGCTAGTGCGAGTAACACAAGGGAAGAAATGTGTGTGGCTACATCATGTGATTTTTTTTTTAAAGTTGGTTGTGGCACTTTTTAAAAGTGGGGTGGAGTACGAATTGTTTCTCCTCTACTTTTCCAATGTGCCTTTCCAAGAAGCCTTGAAATTTTGCACCATCTACAGAGTTTACAAGGAGATTTAGTTAGGGACAAAATCAGTGTGGTGGGAAAGTTTCTCTTTTTGGTCTCCCCCCGCCCCCTTTTAATTTTCATTTTTGTCTTACTTTTTAATCACCTGAAGTTATTTAAAAACGTCCTTAAAGCTGGGACTCAGGGTTGCCTGGAATGTCTCCTGCCCGCTGCAAAAATGCTTTGCTTACTGTTTCAAGCTGGCAAATAGACCTTCCCGCTCAGCATCCCCTATGCTCACTCCGAGCCCCAACCCAGCTGTGCAGGTAGCTTCACCTCAAGGGGGCTCCCCGCAGCCTCGCTCCCTGGCGCCACCTGGTGCCAGTTCCCCCTCCCTGCGCGCAAACCACGTGTACCCCTCCTCCCCTTACAACCTAGCTATTTACTCCAGTGTTTGAAGCGGGGCGCCCAATGGGAGAGCCGGAGGGGTAGCTCTCGGAAGCCGGGCTCCAATCACCACCTGGGACAGCAAAGGGGAGGCGGGGCCGGACTTTCACCACGTTGGGTTTGTCCGCAGCGCTAATTAATTTTTCCAAAGGCTGGGAGGGCTTCACTCCAGCCCGGGAGCTTGCTGCCGCCGCCACCAGCCAGCCCTTCGCCGCCTCCTCTTCTGCACTGCACAGACCAGTCGCTGGGGCCCCTCTATTGCAATAAAATGTTTGACGGCTCCCTCCTGCCTCTCTTATTTCCTTTCCTGCTGCTCTGGGGACTGGACACCGCCACAGGTAGCGCTTTTCTGCCCCCCCCCCCGGGTCCCCCTTTCCTGAGCCCGGCATCCCCGTCTCCCCTTGGCTCTGACAGCCGCGGTGGCCCGGGACCGCGTGCGGGCCCCCTGCTGCGTTTGCCCTGGCCGGAGCGCCGGGTGTGCAAAGGTTGAGCGTTGCACGCAGGGTCGGCGGCGTGCATTTGCAGCCCCCGGGGCTTGCCCCCCAGAGCTGCTGCCTGGCCGCGATCGCCGTTGGCAGGGGACGTCGCTCCAGGCTCCGGCAGTTGCTTTTCCTGGTCCGGCTGCGGGAACGTTTCATGGGGAAAGCGGCCGCCTGTCCCTGGTTCTGGCTTTCAACTGGCTCCGCTTCCCCTTCTCCCCGCGGGCTTTTATGGGGGCTGGTGAAATGCGATGCTTGGGGCTGCGTTTGAGAGACGTGTATTGCAATGATACAAGGAGCGGGTTTAGCCTTCTTGCGTGGTTTTCCCTCTCCTCCTTCCCGGCACGCTTGGGCCTTGGAGAGACCGAAACAACCCCCCTTTCCTCCTCCTCCTCCTCCTCTCGGCCCCAGCGGCTGCGGAGACCTTCCAGGGCAGGAAGACGCGAGGCTGCAGCCCGAGGGCTGCGCGCTGGGACCCGGCTGCGTGGAGCAGGGCGCAGGAGGGGCGGGGGGCTTGGTGCTTTAGGGGGGAGCCCAGCGGAGGGTTCCCGACTCCCCTAGGTCTCCCCTGGGGCGGAGGCGCTAACGTGAGTGCCCCGTGAGCGCCTGGTGCTCGTGGGTGGGCAGCAGGGCTGAGGGCGGGGACTGGCACCCCGGGGCGCTCTGGCTGCGGCGCGGGGGGCGCAGGGCTCCCGAGGGCCGGGGTGACTAGCCGGGTCGCAGCGGGGATGGGGAGGGGCGTTTGCTGGGCGCCCCCCCCCCCCAGGGTATCCTAGCTGGGGTGTGGAGGGGAGGGAGCTTAGCACCAGCCCCCGGGGCGCGAGTGACCCGGCCCCTCTGCTTCTCCCCCGCAGCCGGCGGCGCGGAGCTGGAAGTGGCCATCCCGCAGCGAGTGGCGCTGGAGAAGATCCACCTGCTGCAGCCGGCCGGGGCCGGGGCCGGGGCCGGGAGCAGCCCCCGGCGCTCGCCGCCCGAGGAGGAGGCCGTGCTGCTCCGCCTGCCGGCCTCCGGCCGGGAGCTCTACGTGCACCTCCGGCGGGACCTGCACTTCCTGGCGCGGGGCTTCGCGGTGGAGGAGCCGGGAGAGGCCCGGGCCCGCCGCCGGCCCCCGGCCGAGCAGCTCTGCTTCTACACGGGACACGTGCTGAACCGCAGCGACTCCTTCGCCGCCGTCAGCACCTGCGCCGGGCTGGTACTGCGCTTCCCGGGGGGCTGGCTCTAGGGACCCCCCCTGCACCCCGTCCGGCCTGGGGGATCCCTGTCCGGGGAGGGGCTGGCTCTAGGGACCCCCCTGCACCCCGTCCGGCATGGGGGATCCCTGTCGAGGGAGGGGCTGGCTCTAGGGACCCCCCCTGCACCCCGTCCGGCCTGGGGGATCCCTGTCGAGGGAGGGGCTGGCTCTAGGGACCCCCTGCACCCTGTCCGGCCTGGGGGATCCCTGTCGGGGGAGGGGCTGGCTCTAGGGACCCCCCTGCACCCGGTCCGGCCTGGGGGATCCCTGTCGAGGGAGGGGCTGGCTCTAGGGACCCCCCTGCACCCCGTCCGGCCTGGGGGATCCCTGTCGGGGGAGGGGCTGGCTCTAGGGACCCCCCTGCACCCGGTCCGGCCTGGGGGATCCCTGTCGGGGAGGGGCTGGCTCTAGGGACCCCTCTCCACCCCATCCAGCTTGGGGGATCCCTGTCAGGGGAGGGGGCTGGCTCTAAGGACCCCTCTCCACGCCGTCCAGCCTGGGGGATCCCTGTCGGGGGAGGGGCTGGCTCTAGGGACCCCCCTGCACCCTGTCCGGCCTCGGGGATCCGTGTCGGGGAGGGGCTGGCTCTAGGGACCCCCTCCACCCCGTCCAGCTTGGGGGATCCCTGTCAGGGGAGGGGGCTGGTTCTAGGGACCCCTCTCCACCCTGGGGATCCCTGTCAGGACAGGACTGGCTCTAGGGACCCCTCTCCACCCTGTCCAGCCTGGGGGATCCCTGTCGGGGGGCGGGGCGGCTGGCTCTAGGGATCCCTCTCCACACTGACCCGTCCCACTTAATTAATCCCTTTGTTTCAATGTCTTCATGCTGATGGAGGATTTCTGTCATCTGAGATGTGATGGGTGGCAACATTCCCGGGGCTGCTCTGCTCACTGCTCCCCCTCGCTCAGGTGCTCTGCTTGGATGGGAACACAGAGGTCAAAACCTGCCCTCAGGGAGGGAAGCAGCTCAGCAGCCAGATCTTGTCTTACTGGCTTCCCAGCCGCCTTGCTCCAGTCAGGGTGGACTGAAAAGCCTCTGACGCTTCTACCCTTTTGGACGTGTAGAATCATTTGTGACAGGCTGCGCTCTGCAGTAGTAGCCTTGATAAATCTCAGTACCGGACTGTCCTGTACTGCCCATCTCAGCAGCTAGTTACTTCTCACCCAGCTGCTGACTGTCACCTGCTGTGTGGTATGTGATTGGCAGCTCATCTGGCCAGAACAAGGCTCAGTTGATTAATCTCTGTTCCTGCCACCTGACTTGCTGTGTGGTCTTGATCAAATTGCTGTATAAGAGCCAAGCATCATGAGCTGGAACTTGAGTCTATTTATTTCATCATCTTGTGGTTGCACTTACCCCTTGCAATGTTTACTCAAAAGAGTACAACATGAGTCTGGATTCTTTATTAGGCTCCTTATCTCCTCCTATTTCCTCCCGATCAGCTCTTTCCCGACCAGTGCACATGCATATCCCCTTTTCTGCCCTGGAACGGCAATTTAGAGATTCCCGATAGCTTTGTCAGCAACAGAATAGCCCGTGGAATAAACTGCTTAATGACATGAAGATGCTTTTTGCACATTGGGTGGCAGAATTTCTCCACCTAAGGATTAAGGGTTGTAGTTGGGTTTGTAATACAATGGGAGAGCATTGTGCTGCCGGTGAAACATGAGTTAGAAGCTGGTGTGGGGCCTCCTTTCAAAGAGAGGTGCATTGATAATCTTGGAGTGGGATGGCTGCTTGTGCTGTTTGACTAGACTGTGCAATCTGTGGAATACAGTTGGCATTGCAGCTTAGCCATTCCCTTGCCCTTCAAGCAGTAAAAGGAATTCTTGTTAAGGGTGGCTCTCCCGTTTCTTGATCTTTTGCCTTGGTCATTAGAGGTTTGAGTACTCGGGTGTTTGGGTCATTTATTGTTTTTTCATTAGTGTTGTTAACTTTGATTCCTGAAAAGAATAGGAACATTTAACTGGGAGCCTTTGCTTATTGTTTCAAGTACGGATCTATTGGCAAACGGTTAATCTAAAGTGACTTGGAAGTAAGAATCTACTCTGCACATGGATTAAGCAGGGTTTGATGCTTTCCTTTGGAACCATATGAGGGCGCTGTGCCTCAGGTAAAAGACAGCATCCAAGATATTGAATATTAGCATATTTATGATTGACACTGTAAACTGAGACGTATACCACCAAAAGCTTCTTGACGTTTAAAACCGATATCTCTTTTCACGGACAGCTCTGAACGTTTGCCACGAAGCACGCTTTGTTAATCCCATTTATGAAGTGCTGGGCTTTTAAAGATACCTATTCTAGCATAGCTAAAAGGTACGACAGGCAGAGAAGAGAACTTTTTTGAAAGGGGAGTGTAGTTGTAGGCACAGTATTAATTGCCTGAGATCTGGGAGTGAGTGAGGGGGAGAGAAGAAAATTGGCATTATTCCCAGTGGAAAAGTTGGGGCAGGGGTGGTGGGGGGTGGAACTAGACTAGTTAATCTTTGTTCTCTACTCTCCAAATATGAGTCCTGATATTTCTAGAGCAGGTCTGAATTCTAAACAAGCGTCAGAATGATTCATTGGAGCTGCCTGACATTCGGTTCAGAAAACGAGTAGGTTCGATGGAGGACAGTGACATGGACACCAGCAGTCAAAACTGCTACTTGTCTACGTGGGTAAATTCAGGGGAGTTGCACATGCTTATGCCACCTGTGCGTTTGTTGCTGGGAATGGTGGAGGCAAATCTATTGCGAGACAAAGTACATCAGCATACTGGGATTACTCCTCCTCTCTTGGGTAGGGCCATGACGTTACTTTTCACCTAGTTAGCTTAGTAACAGCCCTGTGAAGTAAAGAGGCAGTAACCACGGAGCAGGACACTAAAGCTGTTGTTTATGTAGAAGTTGCACCAATTAAACTTAAACTGGTTTTAAAACTGATTCAGTTAAATTCATGCAAAGCCCTGTGGAGACATTTTTATTTTAGCTTGAGTGATTTTTTTCAGTTGGTTAATCAATTTAAGCTAACTTGATATAAACCAGGTTTGCATCCATTTAAGAGTACTCGCGTGTCTTTTGCATTGTTTAACTAAACCAAATTTTAAATTGTACCTCTAGTTAAACTGCTGTAGCCTTGTGTGTAGACAGTCCTTAAGGGCACTGAGAGGATGTGTGACTTGACTTGCTCAAGGTCATACAGAAAGTCCACGGTTATGCCATGTATAGAACCCAGGTGTTCTGATTCCCAGTCTTGGTCTTTAACCACAAGACCATCATGTGGTACGTCCCTTGGCCCGCTCCGCTTCCTGCAGCCCCCATTGGTCTGGAGCAGCAAACCACAGCCAGTGGGAGCCGCGATCGGCTGAACCTGCGGATGCGGCAGGTAAACAAACTGGCCAGGCCCACCAGGGGCTTTCCCTGAGCAAGCAGTGTCCCAAGTTTGGGAAACACTGCAGTAGGTTGTTAATTTCAAACTGCCACTTAGACCTTGTCTGCAATAGAAAACGAGGAACTCATATTTTCCAGCAGTGCAGCTCTATGGATAACAGAAGTGGTGGAGGTTATAATGTAGATGAAACAGACCTGCTGTGTGCAGGGTTAGATAACCTGGTGGTAAAACCCCTGGCAGCTGATGTACACTGTTGCTCTCAGGGTTGCTGGTGCTTATACTGCCATGGGAGATTTCCTGAACATTGCCAGTGTAGGCCCAGTTGATAGGGCTTGTAGATGCTCAAGACACCTTAAAAATAGCTTGAGCCTAGAATGGTTGTAACACGGTGTCATTGCCTAATGATGGTACCAGTTGTGTTGTAACCATGTCCAGTAACCGTGCTACAAATTACGTGTCAGGTGAGTGTAGCACGATTGGGGCAAGCAGAGTACAAATAAAAATACAATCCCTCTTGCGCTGGGAGGAGAACTGAGCAAGAGCTGGATTCTACGGTCACTTCTCGGAGGGCTGTTGCTAGCAGTTTCCCTACCTAAGTTTTTTTTGGTTTGTTTATTTAAACCCTGCTGGTGCTGACAGTGTTGTTAATCCTTACATGGGCTGTGGAACAGTTTCTGACTACAGGTTGTACCTGGGTTAGGGGAGGGTGCTAACCTGTGTTACAACCGAGTCCGGCTGTAAAGAATGGGTCACCTAAGTACTACCACTGTGGGGCTGCACACCTAATGGGTCACCTAATGGGGCTGCACACCTAAGAATGGGTCACCTAAGTACTACCTACTAATGGGTCACCTAAGTACCTACTGTGGGGCTGCACAGTAAAAAGCCCCATTTGGAGACTCTGCTTCCAACCTGGTAGCCCCTCTTCTCTTCCCATTCACACATTCTGACTTGCAGCGTACGCGGGACACACCTGTTGGTTTAGCCGTGTTCCTGAAATGTGCTACGCTCTTGGACTTTGCAGGGCTGTACTGCAGCTAGGGAGCATAGTTAAATACACCCTTTGGTCCCTAGTGCACTGCAGGATTTTAACTGTGTTGGGGAGACGGCAGCTTTTACGGCACAGACAGGCTAAGTTCTTGGCACTGTGGTCTAACCAGAGCTAGTGTGGTACTTAACATGGGGGTTTATTCCTCAATAAAAAGGGTTGATTCATTTGCACAGGCAAGACCATGTGTTATAACAACACGAGTGGGGGACTGTTGAGTTTTTAAATATGTGCTCGGTTGTAGGGTCCCACCTGGTAGCAGCCGGCGTCAGAGACAAGATAGTGGAATGGGGGACTGCTGGTCTCCTTTAGTGTGGAAATTGTAATGTTTGCTGCAGGCATCTGAGAACTCTATTTATGCATCGATACTATGTATAACATCACAGATCCAGTTAATCTGTTCTTATTCTGGACTGATCCCAACCCTCTAGCAGAATTTGGCAGAGCAGTGCTTGACAGCTGCCTTCCATTGTGTTTTTGTTACTCTCGTGGTTGAAGCCATAGTATAGAATGGATAAAGCTTTTTAAATGCCAAG